TGACATCATGCTTATATCTCTCACCTTATTTCTAGGCATTGCCCCTCTCTATTCCTTCTGTAATCTTCTTTAGAAAAAACAGTCTTGAAGCAGCACAGCCTACAGCTCCCTGGCTCCTTAGAGCCTCACAGGCAGGCCTTCAGGACTAGGCACCTGTTTGCCCTTCTGGAGGCTGGGGAGATTTGGTTATTGAGGAATGAATGTAGAAGAAGGCATTAAAACACTTTTTTTTTTTTTAAGATTTTATTTATTTATCTGACAGAGAGACACAGCAAGGGAGGGAACACAGCAGGGGGAGTGGGAGAGGGAGAAGCAGGCTTCCCACTGAGCAGGGAGCCCGATGCGGGGCTCGATCCCAGGACCCTGGGATCATGACCTGAGCCAAAGGCAGACACTTAACGACTGAGCCACCCAGGTGCCCCTAAAACACTTCTCATAGGGCTGTTGAGGTATGGAAAAATAGCCTTGTTGAATGGGATGGGCAGAGATGGATCTCCTCATTTTCTACTTCCTAGATTGCTCTACTTAAGATTCTGCTGGCTGCAGCCCCCACCTCCAAAGCCAAGACAGACTCTATCAATATCCTCGCAGATGTCCTGCCTGAGGAGATGCCGTGAGTGCTTCAGCTGGGTTGGCTGCTGAATGCGAGCTGTTTTGTCTATAGCATCTCTCTTGTCCCCACCCCACCTTGATAACAGAGGGATTGTCAGCAAAGAGATCTCCTCTCCCCTTTCCACTGCAATGCTCTCTGTTGGGTTCTTTTTAGCTCAAAACTGATGGTCTACAGGGCATCATCAGTGCCAGTGACTGGTTGCATAGGTATGTGGGTGGACATTGCCAAGAGATGAGCTTGCCAAAGGAGAGAGAAAAACAAAAAGAGCAAAGGAGCTTTTCTCCACACAGGCTCGTAAGTGGGAACCCTGGAGGTTTCCCTAGTACAGAAGTTCAGATCTCCCAAGTTCTGGCTCTCTTGTATACGTTGTCTCTGACCCAAATACCTGGGTCCTTGTAGGCCTCTCTCTAAGGCTACTCTCTGCCCTCACTCCTCTCCCCATTGTAGCATCACTGTTCTCCAGAGCATGAAGTTGGGCATTGATGTGAACAGGCACAAGGAGATCATTGTAAAGAGTATCTCTGCCCTGCTCCTGCTCCTCCTCAAACACTTCAAACTGAACCACATCTACCAGGTGAGCAGCTAGCAGCACTTCTCCACAGGTCTCAGGTGTTCTCCAGGCCCTGTCTCCCAAAGAGGAGCCTAGGGGCCTTTATAGTCCAGTTGAACATCTTTCAGCCTTTTCTTTGTCCTCCTTGGGGAATCCATCTACCTGTTGCACAAGCTTGCGTGGGGGTATGGAGTGGGATGTGAGGAACTGTCCTAGACAGGTGCAGATGTCTGTGTCCTTTGAATGTTATCCAAGGATTGTGGGTAGGAATCCTTGGCTTCTTGGGAATGTGCCCAGCCAGCTTTGAAGCAGTGCAAGACAGGATTCAAGCATTCCACAAAAAAAAGTGAGGAAAAACTATGTAGAAAAACTTTTCTATATGTGAAGCCCTTTTCTAACATTTGAGATATAATCCTAAATAAGGCACGGTTTTGGCTCTTAAGGACTTTGAAGTCTTGTAAAGGATATGGATATATAAATAGCTAATTATGGAATGGTAAGTGCATGATACAGGTAAGCACTGGCTGGTAATCCAACCTGCAACGGAGAAGAGGTGACTTTTAACCTGAGTCCTAAAGAAACAGATGTGAGTCAGGATATGGGAGTTGTCAGGGAAGGAAGATAGGAAGCATTTCAAGCAGAAATGTTAATCTATGGAAGTCCAGAGGAGAGAGAGCAAAGTACCTTTGGAGACTGTTTAAATGTTGCTGGAGTTCTCCCTGGGGTAAGGGGAGATGGGGCGGCCTGGTGATACATGGAGCTGGAGAGGATGGACACGGAGCAGATCATAATACATATGGTAGTACACAGTTGTTGAGTACTTATAATGTGCCCGGCACTCTCTTAAGTTCATGGGGGATCTCATTTAATTCTCTTAATCCTATGAGGTAGGTCTTATTTTATCCCTGTTTTATAAATGAGGAAGCCGAGCGTAAGAAAGGTTAAGAAGCTGCTTTCCCACGAAGGCATTGTTCACCAGGCTGAGGAGTTTGGACTTGGTACTGTGGGCATTGCCAAATATCAGGGAACCTGGGGGCAGGGAGTGGATGGTCTCTGTGGTGAGAACATGGGGAGGAGAGGAGGCTCCTCATGATTGCCCAGTGTCTTTGCCCCATTTTCCTCCTAAGAAGTCAGAACCAAGCTTGCTGCTAGAACAGCAGATTCTCAGAGTGCACAGAGGCTCCTGCAGGGTCTGTGTCCATACAGGTTTGACTATATAATCAGGGTATTTCTCCACTCTAGTACACTCAGAGACATCTTTGGGTATATTATGGGTGTCCTGGGTGCTCACACTTCTTCTGCCAGTGTTTGCTGAGCAACAGCAGGGCTGGGAGGAGTACGGGTGGGTGGGAGATAGTGTTCCTAGTAGAAAGAACAGAGAACCGTGGATATGTTTTTTCTGTCTGCATCTCTTGGTGGGCAGTATGTGGATCAACAGCCAGACAGGTGGGTGGCTTGATGGGCCTTGCCAGTGTGTGTCAGTGTCAGTGAATCCCTACAAGGCTACAGACAAATTTCAAGTTGAAAAACATTTTCCATAACTTCATAGTGGGTATGTATTGGCTGCTCCATCTGGAGCTTTGGAAAATACCCCAGGTCGGCTGCCAGGGAGAAAATATTTGAGAGGAGAGAAATGGGCAGCACAAGCTGACTCCCACCTCTAACCACACACCCAGGGGCAGAGGGCAGCTTGGCTTGCTGCCATGGCTACTTCTTGTGATCAGGAAAAGCTAAGGGATTTAAAACACCACAATTTTCTGGTTTTTCAACCCAGTTTCTATACTATCCCAGCAGTCTGGGTTCTGGATCTGGAGGCAAACTGTTTCTGATATTCAGTGCGTCACAGGCAAAATCCAGGTGTTGCACTCCAGGACACTGCCCACTAGGTCTTCCCAGACACAAACCCCATCCAAATTCAAGAGAGCAAAATGGAACCCCTATTTCTGGTGTTTATCCCATCAAAGAGATCTTGGACTTAGCCCATCAAAGAAATCTTGGACTTATTCTCAGTGTAGTATCTTTTTTTTTAAGATTTTATTTATTTATTTAACAGAGAGAGAGAGATCACAAGTAGGCAGACAGGCAGGCAGAGGGAGAGGGAGAAGCAGGCTCCTGAGCCCTCCAGGCACCCCAGTGCAATATCTGTTGACTGAAGGGCTCTTGTTGATCCATTCATTAAAATACTAATAATGGGGGTGCCTGGGGGCCTCAGTCGGTTAAGCGTCTGCCTTCAGCTCAGGTCATGATCCCAGGGTCCTGGGATCAAGCCCTGCATCGGGCTCCCTGCCCCGGCGGGAAGCCTGCTTCTCCCTCTCCCGCTCCCCCTGCTGTGTTCCCCCGCCCCTGTTAAATAAATAAAATCTTTAAAAAAATAAAATAAAATACTGATAATGTAAGTACAGGGATAATGCAGTGAACCAGACAGACTCATGCTGGAGTCCACATCCCAGTGGTTCAGCTGGTTGCTATGTGCCTTATCCGTCTGGACTGAACGATGCCAGCAGTTGCTGGGAGTAAGCTGCACCTGTTCCTGCTGTATCAATCACTGCTGAAACACTATGAACCAGAGGTTTGGCATGGAAGACCGCTCCCTCAGGGAGCCTTCCTTTCTTGTTGAGCTTAGGAACAAATATTGCAGCAATTCCTTCTATTTATCTGGAGTGGGATTTTCTTTCTGCCTTGTTTATGTTTTGTGCTTTTGGTCAGGTGTTTACAACATACACACACTGCAGATTATCCCCCTCCATGCAGGTGAGCTGGCTGATGATGCTTCTCCCCACTTCTCAGACAGGAGGACTGATAACACAAGTGGACAGTGGATATTGTTAGGAATGGATATTAGGGTTGTACTTGCCAATCTTATTTTTCATGTGTACTTTCTGTTATCCCCCAAATAAGCAGCCCTTTCTGCTTTGATCTTTTAATTCAGTTTGAATATGTATCACAACATTTGGTATTTGCCAACTGCATTCCATTGATCCTGAAGTTCTTCAATCAAAATATCTTGTCCTACATCACTGCCAAAAACAGGTATGGACTCTGGACAGGTTTATTTCAAAGGTCTGTTTTGGGAATGGGTTGGGAAATATACATCATCTCTGAGCCTTTCAGTTCTCCTTGTGTCCCTAGTCCTTTCTATCTTAGAGCTGTCACTGTTAAATTTAATTTCCTTGAAGTGTTAATTGATGGGGTGTGTGGTTTGGCCTCTTCACAGAGGTATTTGTATTTTAATAGTTTTGAAAACTAAAAAATGTCACAACTCAAATAAATAAAACTGCAACAATGAAATTTTAGCCCTATGGCAGAAGGATCCAGAAGATGTTTTTTTGTGAAACAGCCTTCTTATCTGGCCAGCCCTGATCTTAGTATAAATCATAAGTTGTAACAATTATACTACTTTGTAAACTGTAGTGTTATGTAGAATTTGCAACTCAAGGTAATTAACAGACCCTTATTTAGATCAGTTTGTAATAAAACAAATATATGGTATTTTATTTAATCTCCTCAGTAATGGTAAGAGGTATTACAACAAATTTTATTCTCACTTCACCAATTAGTAAACAAATTCAGGGAGGTTAATTGACTTGCTCAACATGCTAGTGAGACGACTTAAGTAAGCAGCGGAGGCAGGATCAAAACGCAGATTGTTTTCTGGTCACAATTACTATGAATACAAATTGCTTTTCACTCCTCCAGCCAACTGGGGACTTGGGAGTTACAGAGTAAATCCTTGTTTTTTAGTTTGCTACTTCCACAAGAACTAGAAGCATGTTAACTAGAGTTTACCAGAGGCAGAGTTCCTAAAGTAGAAGGAGGCTGATCTGATTACTTGGGGTGACTAGAGAAGGCCGGGAGACTGGTGCCTCACCAGTCTTAAACTGCCTAAAAGTTCACCATGGAGAGGCAGCCTACTTATATGTAGTTTAAAATACACAGAGGCACCTGGGTGGCTCAGTCAGTTGAGTGTCCGACTCTTGATTTCAGCTCAGGTCATGAGCTCAGCGTCCTGGGATGGAGCCCTGCATTAGGCTCCTCACTCAGCAGGGAGTCTGCTGGAGATTCTTTCTCTCCCTCTCCCTCCACTTTCTCTCTCTCTCTCAAATAAATTTTTTTAAAGCTTTTATTCATTTATTTGAGAGAGAGAGCACAAGCAGGGGAAGGAGCAGAGGGAGAGGGAGAAGCAGGCTCCCAACTGAGCAAGGAGCCCCATGAGGGGCTTGATCCCAGGACCCTAGGATCATGACCTGAACTGAAGGCAGACGTATAACTGACTGAGCCACCCAGGTGCCCCTAAATAATCTTTAAAAAATAAAATGAAGTGCACATACACACATGGAACTTGAAGTCATGAGACCTGCCATTTGCTAGCTATGTAATCTCAAGTAAGGACTCTCTGGTTTTTTTGAGCCACACTATTTTTATCTTAAAATTAAAATAATACATTTCCTGACTATATCATAGAGCTTTTATATAAGTATCAGTTAAGATAAACATATGAGAGTCCTGTTCCACATTTCCAGTTAGAGATCCACCCCTGGATCAATCAAGTATGGCCGGGGTTCACGAACTAAATACCCAACCTCCACCATGGGCCTGGAAGGGGAGGAGCAAATAATCTGATAGGTGTCCATTAGGTTCTATTTGGAATTGGAAGAGTGGTAGTGCCAGACTACATCATTAACTAAGTTTAGCCTGGATAAGATGGTTCTCTTCTGCACCACCTGCAAGCTTTACTGCGGCATAATCCCTGAGAACTTGGAACACCCATAGCCCCTTATTGCACACTTTGCTCATGGCTCTTACAATATAGAGATATTCCAGAAACTTGTAACTTTATTTTTTGCCCCCTTAGGCTAGAATTCAGTTCACAGAGGATGGAACAAATCTATCTTTGATTTTCTGCCCCCATTTCCTGGTTGCCAGCATCTACTTTGCCATGGGCCTTTGTGGGAGGTGGGTAGATAAGTGGATAAGCCAGCCAAGAATGTTTATACTAATGGAGCAGTAAGTACAGAACTGGCAGCCCTGGGAGAATCCAGTAGAGTGAATTAAGATGATGAGCAATGTTATAGGTAGATCCACTGCCCTCTCTTCTCCTACCTTGGTTATCATTGTGGGTTTCTTGGACAAAGGTAAACATTTCTAGGTAAATATATTGTTGCCTTTTGCTTGGATAGAGTTTTGACTTTAGAAATGTAGAGACAGGTCCAAGAAACCCCATACTCCTCTTTATGGCCCTTGCTTTGCCAACATCCTTGATCCAGTTCAGATAGGTTATAAACGTTATAGAATGTCAGAATCAGAAGGAGCATTAGAGATAAGCTAAATTCTGCCTTGTACCAATGAAAAAGAAAAGGAAAGGAAGAACTGTAATTTTGAGTAACTATGTCCCTGTCATAATGCAGTGCCTCATTTCCCCTACCTACTCTTGCCTGCTTCCCGGGGCTCACCACAGAGCCTCCAGCTCCCTTATAGTCCCCCACTGTCAGTTCTGGGGGCAGATGCTGTTACCATTCCTTTTTTTTTTTTTTTTTTTTTTGAGAGAGAGAGAACATGCATGAGTGCAAGCGGGGGTGAGGAGGGGTGGGCAGAGGGAGAGAGAGAGAGAATCTTAAGCAGGTTCCATGCCCACCACAGAGCCCGACATGGGGCTTGATCTCATGACCCTGAAATCATGACCTGAGGCGAGATCGAGTTGGACTGGACGCTTAACTGACAGAGCCACCCAGATGCCCCAATGCTATTACCATTCTTTTTTTTTTTTTTTTTTAAAGATTTTATTTATTTGAGAGAGAGAGAATGAGAGACAGAGAGCATGAGAGGGAAGAGGGTCAGAGGGAGAAGCAGACTCCCTGCTGAGCAGGGAGCCCGATGTGGGACTCGATCCCGGGACTTCAGGATCATGACCTGAGCCGAAGGCAGTCGCTTAACCAACTGAGCCACCCAGGCGCCCGCTATTACCATTCTTGAGCTACTAGATTGGCCCTGCTGCAGGAAGCTGCCTCCGTCTTAAGCTTCCTTCAAGAATGGCTTCCGTGATCATTTCCCAGAGCTCCTGGCTTTCAGAAACATTTGGTAAAGGACATAGGAATGGTCTTCATTTCATCCTCACGTCCACAGACTGTTACTAAGTGGGTTAAGTTTGGGCAGCATCTCTGGGAACACAGTTCACACGTATACACAAGCATACACTTAAGTACACAAACAGAAGTGCACCTGTGTCCGGACTCTTTACAGAAGAAAGGAGAGAGGTGGCTATACCAGAGGCTCTCTTGCTGCTTTCTTTTGCATCTGCTAGATGGGGGCTGGCCTGAAGGAACTCTGTGGGTTCCTCTCATGAGGAACCATGTGGTGCCATGGTTGCCTGGCACCACAACCCTGTTTCAGCTGAGGTCACTAAGCAATTTGGGAAATAGATGGGGCCTGCTGGAGAGAAATAATTCCTGTCATTTCAGGTACTGCCATTTCCATTTCCCTAAAGCTTGCCCCTTTCTTTGCATTTTGCAGCATCTCGGTCCTGGATTACCCTTGCTGTACCATCCAGGATTTGCCGGAGCTTACTACAGAGAGTCTGGTAAGCAGAGGGGGATTTGGTAGCTTTTGAAATTGCCAGATGGCAGCAGCTGGTATTTGCTCTTCTGTTTCTTCTCCAGCCTTGTAATGCCCTGGTTTGGGAGTCTCAGATCAATAAAGGCATATTGGCAAGAGCACAGAGGCAGTGGGTGTTTAGAGCTGCTGACCCAGTTGAGAAAAATTTGGGAAAACTGAGCATAGCAATTTGCAGAGAAGAGAAAAGGGTCAGTGACAAACACTAAGGAGGAGAGGGAATTTAGAAAGATAATGGGACTGAAATTGAATGTGAACATCTGTGCTAAATGGCAGAAGAAGCTCTACTGGTCTATTCCAAACAACGATCTGTCTCCTTTCCGCTATGCTATAGGGTATTCACTTTTCATTTTCATATAGATTATAAAACCCAGGAGTGTGTACTTCAGAAAATATCTTCCCTAGGTCTCTTTAAGCCAGAAGTTGGTAACAGCCACAGAAGAATGCCCCAGAAATTTCTTCATCCTGGAAACAACTTTAGGCAAATCAGAAAAGTCCCTCAGAATTACTTTGAATTCCATGAAACTAACTGATCAACAGCATACTGAAGATCAACTGTCTGCCTCCTTAGATATATACTCAAGTCCATACCCTCACCCTGTTGCATTGTACTTGGATATCTATCTGTTCCTCCATTTGACTAAAAACTATTTGAAGGAAGAGATGGTATCATCCTCAGTTTTATATCCCCAGAGTCTAGCACTATGTTTGGTACATGAAAGGAGCTCAAATACTAAATGATTGGATGGTAGCACCCATGTGTCCCACAGCCGTTTGCCCCCCAACTTTAATACCTGTGAAATGTTGCATCAGGAAAGTGTATTAGGCACAAATAGAATGATACCTTCTGTGGTACAGGTTTTATAGAACCATGGGATTCTTGGCTGGAGGGGACCTGAGAGCCATTTAGCTCAATCCCCTATTTCAAAGATGAGAAACCAGAAGGCCCAATGGATGAAGTGACTTGTCATGGTCCACTCCTCATAAATGATAGATCCTGAATTAGAAAAAGACCCATGTTCTAAGATATTAAGTCTAGCACCCTTTTTAGCATCAGGGCAGAGATTTCCTGTCTCACTTAGATGTAGTGGCCAAGGAAGCTGGGAACTTCTTATCCCTGCAGAGAGAAGTAATAAGTTGTCTAATAACCCTGTTTATGCACATGATGTTATTCAATCTTTAAAATAACTGTATAAGCTTGATATTACTGTTTTATAGATGGAGAGTTAACTGCCAAAACCTTACAGTTGAAAGTAGCAGAGCCAGGGTGGAGACTTACATCCCTGCCATTCAGAGTTAGAATGAAGAATGCACTTTCTCACAGAAAACAGTGGTGAACAGCATTAAAATGCTCCTATTAGTTGGGTATTTCAAAACATAAAGTTAGCTTTTATGGTTGAAATCTATTTCTTGATACAGTATTTTCTCTTTTCTCATCCCGTATGTAGGAAATTGATGGGAACTATACCTTCAAATCTCTTCTGATTTACCTTTGGGGATATGAATATAACATTATTGAAATAATTGTTATGCCCCTGAGAAGATTTTATTGTTATCCTTGAGCAGGTGAAAGCACTAACTATGCTAAATAAGAAACCAATTGGTGTTAGGTGTTCTTCTCCTTTCTGCAAAGCAACAGTGGCACCTGGTGGTTTCATTTGGTAACTACAGATTTTTTGTTGGCTTAAATTTACGGTGTAAGTACTTCCCCAGAGCCTAATCACGGGCTTAAGTAACTAGCAAGTTTACTCCACATAGGTCCTCAATATAATGGTTTGTTTATCTAAACTGATGGCTTCTGTACTCAGAGAAGACTAATGTTTATATGAGTAAAATGCTTCTCTTTTCCAGGCTCAGTAAATTAATTGTAAACAGAAAATATACTGGCTTTTATAAATGTGGAGGATTTTCTTTAAATAATATTTCAAGTTTTTTTTTCCTGGTTATAAAATCACTATATACTATTGCAGAAAATTGGATAAATACAGGAAAATATGGGGAAGAAAACAAAAATACCTTAATTATACTACCTACATGTAACGACATGTTAATATTTTCCTATAATCACCATATATATGTACATATTAATTCATATATGTACACACATACATTATTTAAGAAAATAAGGACTTTGTATGTTTCAATTCACATAATAAAATTTAAATATTCACAATGTGACTTTGAACTTATTTGAAAACTTGATTTTTAATAGCTACACATAATATTCTCCTTAATTTTTAAAAATGATTGCTCTCTACTAATGTTGGGCATTTATTTCAATATTCTCTGTGTAACTCCAAATTCTAAAGTCTTCCCATTTTGTCAAAATACTTAGCTCTACAATAGGCCATCCTTACCCATGTACTGAGAAGTTTCCCTACCCACCTAGTATAGGAAGGCTTACAATTTCTGTATCCCCAAATGTCTATATTCAAATTCAATCCACTAAAGTAGGAAAACATTAAATTCCAAATATGAGGGAAGGATAGTGAATGTATGGTTGTGTGGAAGATAGATAGGGTCTTTGGAAGGAGGTTGCTAGAAAAGGCAGTGGATATGTCTTCAACAAATATTGTAGAATGCTCAGTATTTTGATGGTTTTTTAGGGCAGTGGTATAAAAAGTAGGGTGTGCAAGATAATGCTTTGGGGGATGGAATATTTTGATCTTTTGTATGTATCAATATCCTTTTTACTTTCTATATTTATGTGTATATTAGAACATACGTAATGTCATTACAATAATGCATTTCTAACTTAGAAGTAAATGTGTATATTTAGGCGTACAACAAAAATTATTTACTGAGAGATATGTGCAATAAAAAAAATTTTTTAGAAACCACTACTTTAGAGTATGTTGAAATGAGGGTAAGGTTGTAGGTCTGCTTGCTTTGTGGGCTTATTGGTCCTAAAGAGAAATCATACAGATTACACTCCATCCTCCTTTCCTCTCCTATCTTACAGAGATTCGGGCCAAAAAAAATGTGGAAAATTCTGTGTAAATCTATTGTCACTGCTGCAAAGCCAACCCAGAGTTCAAAATGCTTGTTTTTTACTACAGAATGTGATTTAGCAACAGTAGCTTCACATACAAAGAAGGGCATATTTTGAACAATGTAGATGCCCAAGTAGGCCTATAAATTAAGAATGGAGGAATGAGAAAAAGTAGTATTTATGGAATCACTGAGTATCAGAGCTAGAAGATTCTTAGTATCTTGCCAAATCCCATCCTTTACTGATGAGGAAATGGGTAGAGTGCTGAAGTGTTGTCCAAGGCCTTAATAGCTAGGTAGAGCGAAAACAATGAGTCAGAATTTGCATGACCTAGCCATTTGCAAAGAAACATTTGGCATTTCCTTTTAGATATATGCAAGTGAAATTATTAAGTTAATTTTTAAAAGGCAGTTCATTGCAAAATTCCTCAAATTTGGGTTTGATTTATATTCAGAAAGACTTATAAAAACACATATCGCTTAAATTTACGTACCTGATCCTTTCATCTCTCCTTATTAAATTTTGTTTTTATAACTTCCTAATCCAGGTATTTTTGGATATTCCAGAAAACTTTTGTCATTCTTGTTTTGGTTTTTGTTTTCTTATTGGAATATAATCATGTTCAAGTATTAAGGTCTCTAGCATTCATTTCAGGCATTATTTAACCAATGATTTTATGACCTTATTAAATAAAGTCTTCTGACATTCACCATCACTATTTAAAACCAATATTGCCTTTAGCATTATTGTTTCTCTGTTCTAGATATAATGTGAACACATAAGGTATTTATCCATGTTCTATGACATGTCTATATAGAGGAAGGACCATGGATAAATGTTTTTTAACATTTTATCAGTTTTCCTGTTAAGTCACCATTTCTGTAATGGTTGTACTAGAGGAGATGAGAATCTCTGGAATTCTTTTCTTTTTTTTTTTTTTTAAGATTTATTTATTTGAGAGAGAGAGCGCATGTGCACACGCTGGCACATGCAAGTAAAAAGAAGAGCAGAGAGGGACGGAGAGAATCTCAAGCAGTCTCCATGCTGCACAGAGCCTGATGCGGGGCTCTATCTCACAAGACTGAGATCACTACCTGAACCGAAACGAAGAGCTGGAGCCACTCAACCGACTGCCCCACCCAGTCGCCCCTCTGGAATGATTTTTCAAACTCACATGCCCAGATCCCTCTCCAGGGCACAAATAGTTTGTCAAAACTCCCCAAATGATTTTGAGATTTTCTCTTCTCTTTCCTCCTTTTTTACTCACACCACTTAAGAATTATAGCTCTCTTTTATGATATCTGGGTCCTTAATCTAGCAGTAACTTAATTGTCAGAAATCCATATGATAAGGGAATTATTCTATAATGATTTGGGAAAAAGTTTAAGCTAAAAATATGAATTCATTTTCAGTTGTGTCAACCATAATAATGGAATGAATCAAAAGAATCATTTACCGAGAAGTGGTTATTATTGTGAGTTTTCAATCAGTAAGTGTTAAAACCTAGCAAATATTTTTTCAAATAGGTTCAAATAAATGCAGGGCTGACATGGCATGAAAATCTGAAGCCTAAAGCAAAGAAATAGACTAGTTTGTAAGTATAGCAAAAGCAGGGGCGCCTGGGTGGCTCAGTCATTAAGCATCTGCCTTCGGCTCAGGTCATGGTCCTAGGGTCCTGGGATCGAGCCCCGCATCAGGCTCCCTGCTCGGTGGGAAGCCTGCTTCTCCCTCTCCCGCTCCCCCTGCTTGTGTTCCTGCTCTCGCTATCTCTCTCTCTCTGTCAAATAAATAAATAAAATATTAAAAAAAAAAGTATAGGAAAAGCAGACAGAACTACAGCTCTAAGTTATCTTGAGCAAGTTTCCTGTAGGCTATAGGAGTTCCACATATAAAAGGAAGAGGTTGGGCCATCAGATGAGCATAAACTTTTCCAAAACTCCCATGGATTCATTATATAACAACCAAGCTAATATTAG